GGGCACCAATGTTCCACGGCAAGAACTACTGTGAGACCCCAGCTGCCAATCACCTCCCCCACCCCACCCCGGAACCACAGTGTGGGGGACCTGCACCGGCCATGTGCAAGAGCCCAGGCCCAAGAGCAGGGATCTGTTGCAATTAGGATCTCTAAAGACTATGTCCCTTTCCTTACAAGCAGCATTTCAGCTGCCATTATTAAAGGGCTGCGCCTCCTGGTATTTTGACATTACCAGGAATACCTCAAACCGAAGAACCACAGGTGAGTTAATTCCTAATATCAGAGTCTTGTGTTTGTGCATTTGCCAAAAGATTTCTGAGTACCACTGTCAAACCCTTTCCAGGAACACAGGCCAATCAGGATGGAGAATGTGCTGCCCTCCCAGGTGTTCCATATGTCCAAGGTTGTTAAATCTCAGTTCAGCTCCAAGTCTGATATAAAATATAAACACGTCCCTTTCCCCCAGGCACCACCAACAGAAATCGACATCACTGATCAGTAACAGTTCTGTGCATATGCTACATCCACAAACCCAGGTTCATCTTCCCTCTCAATCCTTGCTGTTTTGGTGTCTCTGTATCCTCGAGAGAGCCTGGGCCCTCTTCATTGATGTTGGGGCTCATTCTCTATTGCCCTTCCCACAGTCTCTGTACCTTAGGATGCAGGCAGTGAAGCTTGTCTAGGCATAACTGCCCAGCATAAGCCTCCAAGAATGTGGCTTTGAGGAGGCAATATATTCAGAGAACTCCACCAGCTGCTGGTTAGTAATCTAGTTTGATCCTTTCATGGCACTGAAAGCCTTACTGATGCTTGGAGCTAGCTTTTCAGAGGGTATTTTAAGACCTCAGTTTAAAACTGCACATGCAGGCAATAATTAGGAAAGCAAGAAACATTACAGGATTAGACCATAATTCCCTACATATTATGGTCTAATTCTGTAATTTTTCTCTTTTTTCTTCTGCTTTTCATAATTGTAAACAAGCCACACGGCAGCAAGACAAGCCCAGATGTACCAGAGACTGGAAAATGCAAAGTTATTACAGGCTCATTAGCAGTTTCCTGGCTAGAGTGATTATCAAGGTCTTCTGATTGAAGCTCAGCAGTTTAAAGACTGAATTCTGCCCTCAGTGACATCTGAGCAATGTTAGACTGAGGGTATCTGAGGACAGAAGGCACACCTGGCCTCAGACCGAATTCCCATCTTTTAGGGAAAGGCACCACTCACTGCCAAGCAGGGGAATCTAAAGATTTCCTTTGAGGGGGTCAGGAGGCAGCTTCCAAACCAGACTATTACATGCATTTCACTTCAGCACTGGAGAGATGAGGGTTGGTTGGGTTTGACATATTTACCAAATTGTCTTGTTTTTCCTTCACTTGTCAGTTTCTATGGGGTTGTTTTTTGGGTGGGTGAGTCATTTGTTGCATAAATATGCCAAACAAGGATTAACTCCCCCCGAAAGCAGGTGTCCTTAGAAACTGGGTCCAGCCTTCCCACCAGGAAGTCTCAGAGTGTTGCTACCCTAGAACTTGCACCAGGTCTGCCTAAGGTAGGGTTACCATTCGTCCGGATTCTCCCGGACATGTCCGGCTTTTCTGAGTTAAAAATAGCGGCCTGGGGGAATTTGTAAATGTCCGGATTTCCCCCCCATGCAGAGCGCGCGCGGCTGACAGGGCAGCCGGCCGGATCGTGCCACTCGCACGGGGCTCCGGCAGCCAGAGCCCCTCCTCCGCTTCCCCCTCCTCTCCCCTGCTGCTTGAGGTCACTCCCCTCCTCCCCCTCCCTCTCCCTGCATTCGCAGATCGGGGACGTTCGCAACGGGCCTCTGGCAGTCTGGAGCTCCTCCCCCTGCCCCCCCCCCGCTGCCCAGCGCGCCACTCTGCGGGGGCGGGAACCGGGCTGTGTGCTCTGCTGGGGAGCGCGGCAGCGTGGAGCCCGACACGCTGTTCTGAGCGGCACGGTAAGGGTACCAGGGGGTCGGAGAAGGGGCAGGTTGGGTTCTGGAGGGAGCAGTCAAGAGACAGGGGGAGGGTTGGATGGGTCAGGAGTTCTGGGGGGGGGGTGCTGTCTAGGGGTGGGGGGGTGGATAAGGTTTTGGGCAGTCAGGGTACGGGGCGGGGGTGGGGAGAGGGATCGGAGCAGTCAGGGGACATGGAGCAGAGGGGTTTAGATGGGTCGGGAGTTCTGGGGGGGGCTGTCAGGGGGTGGGGAGTGGTTGGATGGGGTGTGGGAGTCCCGGGGGTCTGTCTGGGGGTGTGGATAAGGGTGGGGGAAGTCAGGAGACAGGTAGAGTCCTAGGGTGCCAGTTAGGATGAGCGGAGGGTCTCAGGAGGGGGCAATCAGGGGACAAGGAGCAGGGAGGCTTAGGTAGGGGGTGGAGTCCTGGGGGGCAGTTAGGGGCAGGGGTCCCAGGAGGGGACAGTCAGGGGACAAGGAGCGGGGGGAGGGTTGGGGGTTCTGAGGGGGGCGGGAAGTGGGAGGGAGTGGAAGGGGCAGGGGCGGGGCTAGGGCGGGGCTCCTCCCATCCTCTTTTTTGATTGTTGAAATATGATAACCCTAGCCTAAGGTGCAGCTATAGGAGAGTCACCGGTGTGGCCTTTGCTACCGCTGGCTCCAGGCAGCAGGAATTACCGCTTGGAGTGTTTGTTCATCAAAATGCAAGGCAGGAACTGCCAGCCCCAGGCTCCATCTAGTTCAGCCCCTGACAGTAGCCAGGAGCAGACGCTTCAGCAGAAGGTGCAGAGAACCACGGGGAGGAGAATTATGGACTCACTCAGCACAGGGGAAGTTCCTAGCTGTGTCAGAGGCTGGTTTATGTTCCGAAGCAGGAGGGTTTGTATCCTTTGTACAGTGCATTTCAAGAGAGGCCTGGACGCTGAGATGAGCTGCAAGAACCTCCCCAGTGGGATGAGGTTTAATCACACTCAGCTCTTGGCCTCAGTGAGATCTTGTGGCAGTGAGTTGTACAGGTTAACTGAGCAGTCTGTAAAACAGTGTGTCCTCAGGTAGGTTTAATTTGCTGCCTTTGTTTCCCTGAATGCCCTTCAGCCTTGTATTGCAAGAGGTATATAGGAGTGCCACTTACCTTCCTTGAGAGCCTGAGTTTCTCTCCTTCCCCTGCACTCATCACTTCCAGCCATACACTCTGCCCCTTCCCAGTATGCACTGCTGTAGAGGCCCACAATTTCCCTTGTGATTCCCAGCATTCCCCCAGCGATGAGGAAAGCAGGGAGCTTCACTCCCAAGTTCCCATCACAGGCCCTGAACAAAGGCAGCCGGTTGGGTTGGCTTCCAGTTGACATCCCATGACCTCGTCCTCCACACGCGAATCTGGGAGGGGCTAGTACTAGCTCCGAAGATTTCCCACACCAGTTTTAAAGGGCCAGTACACCCCATTGCAATGCCTGACTCCAATCTGAGCTCCTACCCTGGGAGGCAAGGCAAGTCCCTCCTGTAAAATCCTATTGTCCTATCTGCACAGGATACAAGGCCTTGGCTAATGTACCTGGAGACCTATAAAGAACTGGATGAGTGCTAGGCATTAAATCACCATAGAATCCTGCCCCAGGCAAAGCCATTGTAAGAGAGTTAGAAAACAATTCTACCCCACTGCCTGGTCCACACTTACCAGACAAACTATGCCAGTTCACTTCTGGTGCCACTCCACTGAGGTGACAGAGGGACACCTGGCCCAGTGCCTCCACCCAGGTCAGCAGGAACTGGTTTTAAAGCAGTCTCCTAACAGGGGTAAAGCTTGTGGACAGGGAGGGACTGGGAGAAAAGGCCCCCAAATCATGGCTGCTCTCCCCCGCTCCCCCACCCCCACACAGAGCCTTATGAGTTAAACCCAACCTACTGAGTGATTTGCTAATTGGTGCATGAAGTGTGACCAGGGGCCCCAGTGCCAGGTTTCCACTCGCAGAAAATAGATTTGGCTCAGATGGGCTGAGAATAACAATAAAGAACACAGTGCCACTCGGCTCTTATCAACCCAAGATTGCAAAGCCCTTTACAAAGGAGGCCAACACCAATACCACCATTTTATCGATGGGGAACCTAAGGTACACGGCAGGGAAATGACTTGCCCCGGGTCACCCAGCAGGCCGGTGACAGAGCTGGGACTAGATCCCAGGAAATGGCCCAGCTACATGTGTAGCAGGGACATGTTGGGAGGCCTCAGACTATCCCCTGCACAGCTCCCATCTCACCTGCACCTCCATTTCTCTGGGCTCCTCCAGACGCTGCAGCAGGTTCTGCTTCTCTGTGGCCAGCAACTCAATGAGCTGCTCTCTGGCACTTAGCTCCTGGATCAGCTCTTCAATGCGTCTGCCAAGGAGAAAATGGCTTAGTTACCTTGGGAAGAAGAGGAGGATCTCCGCTAAAGGGCTCTGTGCTCAGCACAGGACCCAAGGCAGCTTCACATCACCTTTGCAGAACTGATTCTGGGGCCAGCCAAGGCGTGGGTCAGTCCCCAGAGTAAATTAGAGCACGCTCATGGTTTACGACTGACAGCTCCTAGCCCAAGGGGCTGTTCCTGGAACAGTCCGGAGGGTAGCGACCTGCTGGCCACACACCTTCCCCCACCCATGCCCCTGTGCTGGAGGTGCTGCGAGGAGCCGGGGAGTGCACAATCATTATGTTGTCTGTACAGTACCCAGGGAGTCCCCTTATGTGGCTTAACCCATCCCAGCCAGCCAGTACCACCTGCTCTGCGACCACCTGGTTCAGCCAGACACTGCCCCCTAGCAGGATCCCCGCAAGGGCTCACTGAGCCCTGACTCTGCTGGATGCCAACCCCCACCACATCCTGCAACCCTGCTCACCCAGGCAGTGACTGGTCCTGCTGTCATGCGGCCCAGTGTGGCGCAGCAAGCGCCACTCTGGGGTCTCCGAGACAAGGATCCCTCTTCTGAACCCCCCAGCTGGGCTACCTGCTCTGTAGGCAAGGGGCCACCAGCCAGAAAGCAGCAGAGGCAAGTCACTGGAGTGACCACGGCTACCTACTTGTCCTTCTGGGCCAGTGCAGCACAGTGATCATCATGCAGAACCTGGGCTCCTCTCTTCTCCTCCTCCTTGGTGAGCTCCTTCAGCTTTTTGGTTAGCTCCAAGCAGCGTCCCTTCTCAGCCTCCGCCAGGGCTGCCGACCTCTCCGCCTCGCTCTTTGCTAATCTGGCCTCCTGGGGATGGAATGTGACATGAGCCAGGCTACTCACGCCACCCAGGCAGAGAGCCACAACCCCACTGGCTTGTGAGGGGAAGGAGAAGCAGCAATACCAGTCGGCGGCTGCTGCATCCAGTGAGACCAGACGTGATCCCTCCTGTAGGCTTCAGGGTTTGGGCGGAGGATGAAGGGCTGGGCCTATTGACCTGAGCTGCTGCAAGTGATGACTGAATTGGGGCCACGCTACAGTCGCTAGCAAGTAATGCATCAGTGCTAACATTCGTGGGACCTGCAGCTGACATTGGAGTTCAAGTCCCACCAGGAGCTGCACTACAACCCGTCCTCTTCAAACTCGCTTCAGCCTGTCTCTGCGAGGAAGGGGCTCCCTGCTGAATTGGGACTAAAACCCAACAGCTGCGTGCCCTGGAAAGCTCACTTGGAGCAGGCTTACTGGGCATCTGCTAGGGCTCCGGGACTCTGCAACTCGCTCCCCACCTCCCCTCTGAAACAGCCTGAATTAGATGACATGCTGCAAATGACACCTCTTAGAGAGGACGCGAGCTCAGGGCTGGGGTACGTATCCTTCCCACAACAATGGAGGGCTTTCTGGAGGTGGCTGTAATGCTGCTGGGATACAACTGTGTTGCTAATGACGTGTTAGGGTGCCCAGAGCTGGGGCTGGGCAGCTTTTTACTGTTATTTCATTCTAAAGAAATAACGATGCCCCGCTTACAATGTACCATCCCTATGGGGCCACATGGGGAAGAGCAGGGGATACTGAATGCAGGCTGCTGGTGAGACAAGTGCAAATTCCTCCCTGCAAAACACCATCAAGTCCTCCCAGGACACTCGCTGCCTTAAATCCAAGAAAGGAGAAATATCACAAGAATACAAAAAGTGTTTAAAATCCCTCCCCTGTGATTTCAGGTGCCTCTATCCTTTTCACTGCAGCCATGATCCCCTGCCTTCATTTACAAAGCCTCTTCTCTCCGGTTCTTTATTGTAAAACCCAAGGAAATTAAGTGAAAAATAAAAAACCCGATGTGACTGCGATGGGAAGGTTAAATGCAAACAATGCTATAACAGCAACAAGGAAGGTTCTCCTAGGGCCAGCTGCGCTCCCACGGTATGGATTACATCCTGGCCAAGATGTTCAAATATAGGGTGGCTCCTAAATCTAGATGTAGGCTCCTAAAGAGGTGGCCTAATTTGCAGAAGTGCCGAGCGCTCAGCAGCTCCCACGGACTTCAGCTGCATCTGTGTAATTATTGTATGAAGGAGGAAGCTGCGTATCTTCACTAGAACTGATGGGGTCATCACAAGTCTGTGTCCATGACCCAGGGGAGTCTCCCAGAGATGCCAATCTCTGCACCTGTCGAAGGAGACGAGAGCAAGGACAACACCAAGCTGGGAGGGGGAGGCTACGCTGACGGGCTCTCTCATACCAGGATGGCAGAGCTGCCCTTCCAATGGAAAGAACAGGAGGTGGGGGTCAAGGGCCATGGAGTCCTGCGACTGGTTCCTAATACCCTGCAGGTAGCCACCCTGCAGGCCTGGCTCCCTCACCCATGTGCTGTGGGTAAAGAGAGAACAAGCTGGAGGGCTCAGAGCTCTGTCTGCTGTAGATACAGAGGGAATAACCAGCGGTTCCCTAGCCCATTGGGGTAGAGGAGAGCAGCTGGGGCCTCAGATTTGTTCCCAGTTTCCCGCGGGCTAAGGGGAGTCCCGAGGGACCCCGAGCTCCATTCCCTAAAAGCAAAGAAAAGTCACAGGGGCCAAGAGTCTTGCTCCTTGTGTCCCATGAGGGCCTTGCAGTGGGGACCAAAGCTCATCCCACATGGCAGGCCCAGAAGAGCTGAGCCCCCTGGGATTTGGGGAAGAAACTGGGACTCCAGAATGGGCAGAGGGGGGTGGCAAAGAGAGAGAGCCGGGCCCCACTTGGTCTCAGGTAGCTCTGTGCTCCTCTTCCATGGCTAACGCCACATGGCTGGGGCGCATGCCCCACCCCACTCACCTCCTGCAGGAGCTGGATCTTGTTCTCCAGGAGCTCCGACACGTGCTCCGTCTCCTGCTGCCGCTCCTCGTACCGGCGCCGGAGCTCTGCTTCATTGCGACTGGTCAGGTTCTCCGCAGCTGCCCTGCAAGACATGGCACCTGCATGTCAGAGCAAGGGGCAGCCCTGTACCGCCCGGCGGGGGCTGGGCTGCAAGTCAAGCTGTCCCCCCACAGCCACCTTGGCTCGCTCCACTCTGTCAGTGTCACAAACGGGGCCCAGACCTGGTTCCACCCCCAGCACGGCTCTGGGAGGCCCCACCTGGCGCTAGCAGCACAGGGAGAGCTAGCGCAGACCAGCATGTACAGCCACACACCCACTGCTGCGCTGAGTTGGGTGAGCATGGGAGGAATAGCAGCGACTGCTCTACTCCATTGCTGCACCAGGGCCACAGCAACAGCTGCAGACTGCAGAGAGCTGAGCGTTGCCTGCTGGTCCCCAGCACCCGGAGAGGGACTGCGGGGGAGGATGGGGCACTAAGCCAGCTCCCAAAGGATTTGGGCCTGATTCCCCACTGCACCAGTTTGATGGCACAGAATCAGGCCCCGTATGCTCACCTCTCCCCAGGTGGGGATCCAGGGTCCAGATCTGAGCCTGGTCTCCAGCTTCAGGCAGTCAGGGCTGGGGCATGCTACACAGACATCAGGCGATGTACCAACCCCTCTGACCTGTTCCACTCTGGCCCCCCCCAGTGCAGGCAGTTGGAACAAGGAAGGTGTGAGGAAGCGGGAACACTGAGGCCCCAAGCAGAGCGGATGGGCCTCCTGAGCATCACACCAGCTAGCCCCTGGCCGGGGAGGGGCGAAGAAGAAGAGGAGCAGGGGAAGGACCCTAGCATTCTGGAAAGGCACCTGTGAACCAGAGGGGACACACTTTCCCCGGCTGTGCTGCTGCCAATCACAGCAGGGAGCCTCCCCCTCACTGTGCAATGCTCCTGGCGTCCCAGGTACTGCATGCTGCCAGGCTGTCGCTCCATCCCTCTTCCCTGCCGTTCCAGCGAGGTTCCCCCACAGCCCCCACTGCTGCAGCATCCTTCCGCCAGGAGCAGCAGTACGGCCTGTGCTCTCCCCTCCCAAGTGCATGGCCAGCTGCAAGCTTACAAGGAAATCCAGTGTAACAGGGGCTGTCTTTCCATTCTGTGATTGCCCAGCACATAGCACCTTGGGGCCGTGGTCCCTGACTACAGCTCTGGGATGCTACTAGGTTTCCATTCAGTTGCCTGCCAGGCTGGGATAGAATGGGCACAAACATTTGATCTATCTGATTGCCTCCCTTTTCCCATACTCTGCCTGGATCACTTGTCTTTCTGGATTGTTCAGAGCTGTGTCTTCATATGTGCAGCACCTAGCATGACAGGGCCTCGCATCCAGATTGGTGTCTCTGGACTCAACTGTAATGTGAATATTCAATGGGAACAAAATGTTTCCTTCTCTTTACCTGCCTAGATCTGAATTCAGAATTTCTTGTTGTTCCCTGTCATGTCCGTCATCAGACTGAGCCACCCCTCCCCATCCTGCTCATAGCAACTGGGACATCAGCCGTTCTCCCAGGGGACACAGCACTCAGGACATGGCAGGTCACAAAGGGAAAGGGCATATTTTAAACTGGGAAGGTGACTGTCATGTGAGCAGCTCCTCATCCGTGGGTTCCATTCCTGCTTTGGGGACTTCTGTGACACTGAGTTTTATTTTTAAATACAAAAGCTTTGCAAAGTAGCAGGGGTGGGGGAGAGATTCACGTGCTGAAAAGCCCATGGGATTCCATCCTGTTTGCAAACAGACTGTGTTCCTGTCCTATGCGCAGAGTCAGTGATGTGCCCCCAGCCAGCACAGGAATCTCCCTGCCCTCTGGGAAACAGGTGGTGCGCAATTATTTTTAGTTTACAAACAGCTGTGCTTGCTCATGCTCCGTCTAGAATGTTAAACAGTATCAGCCTCTAAGCCCGCATCTCCCTGCCTCCATTGAGACGTACAACACATGTTCAAACCCTCTCCAGTGCTGACAACTCTTGGGATTTTGGAATGAGAATGGGGAAGGGATCTTCAAGCCCCAGCTCCTGGAGTCAGGTGATTACATGAGACCCTCAGCTTTCATGCAGAAAACTAAGTAAGTTGTGTGTCCTCCTGGTTGCAGAGAAAAACACAAAAATGTGGCCTGACTCAACCCTGAAGGCTCAGAAACTAGAAGACAAAGAAACCCAACCCAATATTTGTTATTGTGAAAATATCATGATTTCTGAGCCAACTGCGTGATTTTTCAGCGCTTGGAACTGGCACTACTGCCTCACTCTGCCTGTTCTCCTAGTCCTTCCTGGCTGGGGATGGGCTGAGAAAGGGGCCTGCAGGGAGCCTGGGAAACACGCTCTTCCAGGGACAAAGGCCCCGCTTACACAAGGCAGGGAGATTAGCAGGATGTCTGATGCACTGAAAAGCAAATCTCTGTTAAACAAACCGCTTGGAACACAAGCCCACGGAGCTGCTCTTACAGGATCTAAGCCTGGACGCTATTCCTGGGTGCCTAAGGGTCCTTTGCCTGCATTATTCAAAGAGCAGTCATGGGAGGAAAACTAGACCTGAATGTAAAAGACTTCTCTGCGTGATGCTGTGCAAAGAGCACCTCTAAAAGGGGCACGAGAGCAGCTCTCCTGCAGCCGAGCACCCCCGGGACAGCTTCCCAGCTCAACAGGCCCCTCACTGGGATGTGTCATCCCCACCCCCACACGACCTTGTTGGTATTTTTAATTCCACATGGATGCCTGCGCTCTTCAGACTGCGCTACTGACATCAGCGAATCTCCCTGTCAGTACAGCAGAGCAGAGGCTCCTGGAAAGCAAGGCCTCCATCTCAGAGAACAAGATCCAAACTCTCGCCCAGGAAACTGGCTGGGGTGTGAGCAGGGCCCGAGAAGCACCAGCCAGGTCTCCCTGGACAGCCCTTCCAGGCAGCAAGAGCACGCTGCTCTCACAGCACCACCGTACCCTGCCTGACCCTAGGCGGATTGAGCAGGGCTCTCAAACAGCAGCACATCTCCCACTGCAGGAGCCAGAGACATTCCCCCTTCGCTCCTAGCAGCTGAGGAAAAGCCCCCAACCCTCCCAGCAATGGGTGGGAAAAGCAAGGAGTGTGCATCCTGGGCTTCCCACCAGGCAGCTGCCCTTGGACCTCTTGGCTACCTGTCTTGTCTAGTGGGTGTAGTCCTTTGGCTAGCAGGCATCTGGTCAAACCAGTAAAGGTTACTGAGATCTGGCCCACAAGTGGTGAACAAGGGGTTAAGACGAAAAGCAATGGCTCAAGTGAGGGGGAGGGGTCTATGAAGGTGCCCCAGCCCCAGGGATCAGTCCTGCGCAATTTGACACTGGAGACCCAGATGGCACTGAATGGAGTCGTCCCAGGGCAGGGATAATGCAGAGGGGCTAGAAACATGAGCTGACAATCAAAGCACAGATTTGGCTGGCACAAGGCAGCTAATGCACGTAGGGGAAATTATCGGAACCAGAGAGAGATACTCGAAGGGAAGAGACCAGGATTGAGCACAGAGAGCAGGGGAGAGGGCCACAAGGGTGACTGAGGTTGCAATGCAATATGGCTCCAAAAAGCCAATGCTGGAGACAGCCAGTCCGTCAGGACTCTGGCACCACCACACCCAGAAGAGCACACCCACCTCTGGGCCCCTCAGCACCTGACAGAGAGGGACACATTGGGGGAATTTGAGGGGATCAGGGAGCTGGAGGGACTGGCTGAGCAACCACTCAGGGTACGTCTACACAGTGGCTAGGAGGTGGGATTCCTGGCTCGGGCTAGCCGCCCCAGGATTTCTCTCAGGTCTCCGACGGGTTCTGAAGCAGGGCTGGGGGTGGGAGTGTCACACTTCCAGTCGCTGTGCAGACCTACTCTACGGGGGGTCAATCTCCAGCAGCGAGGGGCTCCTAAGGCTGGGTACAAGGGGTGTTACCTGATGATGATCTGAGTGTTAGAGCCCCATTACCAGCTGGACCGGAGAGGGCACAGTGGGGAACCTCTCTGAACCGGTAGCTGGCTGGCCTAGCTGGCTTGCTCACTGTAACGGCTGAGATCTGCTACTCAGCACCTTCTGCCATCCAGTCAGAGTATTTCCATTTCAGAACAAAGTAATCGCTGCTAATCAGACACTGAAAAATCTCCTTGATGTTCCTGCCTGGACGGTGTTTCTACAGCCCCCTTTTCCCCCCTCCCCCACTTCTCTGCTTTGCCCACTGTGCACACTTAGCTCCATCCACCCTCTTTCACGTATCTGCTGCACCAGTCTCACACGTACCACTCCAGCTGCCAATCTGAGTTGCCATTAACTTTCCCCTTGAGTGCCACAGGCCTGGCTCTCGCTGCGTAGAGCTTTATGCCCAGGACAATGGAAAGGGCTTTTGACAGCTGGGAGGCAGAGCCAGGTCAGCAGGGCATCAGGGCTGTCCCCCAGGATCCCTTTCCCTTCCCCTGTGCCCTGCTCCCCCAGCGGTGGTGGGCTGGTGGCCCAGTGCAGAGCCCAGGGGAGTGCTCTGCTGAGAGTTTGCTGAGCAGGTGGCTCAGTGCGATCCGCAGGGAGTGTGAGGCTCTGTCCCCGCAGGTGGGGGCCATGCTGGGGGGTGCTGTTGCTTCATGCAAAGAACGAGCATTCGGGCTGCACAACGGCTTTATTTATGTTTTCCTATCGCACAGCTGGAACCACAGCAGCCAGAGCCCATAGTACAGTGTGGCCTGCCCTGCCCCGGCACTGCCGTACCTCCCAAGACGTAGGGTGACCACTGGGCCCTGCAGCCTTACACAGCTCCAGCGGCCACTCTGGGCACAGGACTGGGAAGTGGTCTGGCTGCTGCAGAGAAGGAAGGCAGAGAGCGGGTTGGAGCTGGGTGTGACATTGCACTCCACATGATTTTATGAAAATATGCTAATAAGTGTGAATATAATATAACTGGAATATGCTTCATGCAAAAAGGTCTCTTGTAAGGTATCATTACAAAGCTTATAATCTACTGAGTGTGTTCATCCTATTTGTATTCTTGTATCTGAAACTAGAAATATGAAATATAACTCTGAGGTCCTATTATAATTATGCAAAGTGTGGGCCATTAATGGTGGTTTGGAATCTTGATGGCTCCCATTAACCAGGACAATTGACTATAGATGGCTCTGTTTATTTGCAAGCCTTCCTGTGAGTCAGGCCAGGAAGAATGAAGGCTTGGGGTCTCACAGGACATGTGACCATGTCACCTGGTGCTGGAATCCATCTTAAACCTGGTGCTTTTCCATTTAGAAGGAGGAGTGGGGACCCAAAGAGACAAAAGATTCCCGCCTTGTGCCAAAGCTATAAAAGTGGGTAGAATAGAACAGAAGCTGACTGCAGTCATGAGAAATCACCTGAGCTGGAACAAGGACTGTATCAGGGGAAAGGATTGGGCCCAGACTAGAAAGGAGTCTGGTCTGTGAAATAAACTTATTGGAACATCTCTGAGGGTGAGATTTTATCTGTAATCAGTTTCTTAATGTATTAGGCTTAGACTTGTGTGTTTTTGTTTTATTTTGCTTGGTAACTTACTTTGTTCTGTCTATTACTTAGAACCACTTAAATCCTACTTTTTATATTTAATAAAATCACTTTTTGCTTATAAATTAACCCAGAGTAAGTAATTAATTCCTGGGGGAGCAAACAGCTGTGCCTATTTCTCTATAGAGAGCGGACAATTTATGAGTTTACCCTGTATAAGCTTTATACAGAGTAAAATGGATTTATTTGGGGTTTGGATCCCATTGGGAGCTGGGGGTCTGGGTGCTGGAGACAGGAGCACTTCTTAAGCTTTTTTCCGTTAAGTCTACAGCTTTTGGGGGATGTGGTTCAGACCTGGGTCTGTGTTTGCAGCAGGCTAGTGTGTCTGGCTCAACAAGGCAGGGTTCTGAAGTCCCAAGTTGACAGGGAAAACGGGCTCAGAGGTAGCCTCAGCACATCAGGTGTCAGTCCCAAGGGGGTCTCTGTGATTGAACCCACCACACTGGGTTTGCTCAGCTCCCCCTCTCAGCATCACGCCCTGAGGATGGGCACCTTTCCAGGGCTACAAGGCCTCGCTGGCTGCCTATGGACAGTGTCACTTACCAAGCCTTATCTAGGGTCTGCTGCTTCTCCTGGAGCTCTCGCTTCAGACTCTCCACTTCCACCTTTAGCTCGATGTTCTGGGAGGAGGAACAGACAGGCAGTTACCCTCACACCCCCAGTGCCCCATGACCCTGCCACTTAACCTCCAACCCTGCCCAGGGCCTAGGGACCCCCAGCTCCCATCCCTTCCTGCACATCTGCCGAGCCGTTCAATCGGTCCCCCTGTAAGCAGTTCCTGTCAGAGATGCTCCATCACCCTGGTCCTGGACAGCCAGGTCACCCACAGAGAAAAGGGCCTGGGTTAAGCATCTCCTCTCAGCCCTTTGTCTCCCAGCTCACAGAAGCTGGTTGCCTGGAGGGGAGGTTCTCCCCTGCAAGTCTCCTGACTGCCAGACACAGCCGCTGGGAGCCTGTAACAAATTTCCCACCTTTTCCCCTGGCTGGTCCCACAGAGGCCGCTTTGGGGTTTGTCCAAAGCCAGCAAACCCCAAACGCTGACTTTCCCAGCGCCCCAGTTGGCTCTTCAAGATCGAAACCCCTCTGCAAACATTTATACCAGGCTCCTTGCTACCTCTGCTGAGCAGCTAACCCCACCACCGCATGGACCTGATCCAATACAGCTATGCCCACTGACTTCGAGAGGCCTGAATCAGGCCCCATCTAAGTAAAATAGGGCCTAGTGTCTTCCCATACCGAGCAGCTGGGCTGTTGTCCCCAGCACACCTGTCTAAACACCAAGTGAGCAGTTTCTGCTGCGCCTAGCTACACTGACTGCACCTGGATCCCCTGCAAGGAGGGTGGACAGCTGCTGTCGCTCTCCTGCCCAGCCCTGGAAGGAGCTCTGGCCACACCCCCTCTCCTTGCGAGTGGGTCAGATCTCTTCGGGGGTTGGACAGGAAACCTGTACAGCGGCTGTAGGCAGTAGGCAGCACTCTTCCCCTGAGTCAGAGCGTCCTGTAGCATGGCACTAGGGGGCTCCGTGCAGCCGGAGGGGCTGGCTTTAACGAGAGACAGCACACAAAACTCTTTCCATTTATGGTCACCAAAGCTCCTGGGGGGTTTGGTTGTTTGGTGAATCCCGGCATTCTGGCTAGTCTCCATTAGGGACCATTATGTCCTGCTTCCCTAAATCCACCCAGCAATTTTCACTAGATCAGGGGTCCTCAGGACAAATTTTTTGGTGGCCTCAGAGGGCAGCCACCAACTCTTGCTGCTGGCAGCTCTCACACTTTTTCCTAAAATACTTAATTAGCTCTAGGAAAAACAATTAAATATGCACATGTACATGTCCAAATCATGGTAATTTATTTATTGCTAGCTAGTAAGTCGGCTCTGAAAAGTGATACTTGTATGTTTGTTAATATCACTTTTCACAGCAGACAGCAAGCCTGGGGACAAATTAAGCCCTGGATGGGGAGTCGGGGTAGGCAGCAGGGGCCAAGGGTGATGGAATTGGGGGGGGGGAGACAATGGGGGGCCAGAGCCTGAAGCCCCACAGCCAGAGCCTGAAGCTCTGTGGGTGGGGGATGGGGACGGAGCCCGAAGCCACACGGCCAAAGCCCGGGGCCTGCTGCCATGCAGCCGGAGCCTATAGCTCTGTGGCCAGAGCCTGCTGCCCCGCCACCCCAGGGGTGAAGCCCAGAGCCTGAGCCCCACTGCCTCCAGCTTTGTGCCCACCTGTCTCCAGAGTGGGGGCAGGGCCCAACCCCTGCTTGCAGCCCCAGCAGCCAACACCAAGGCGATTCATCCAGGAACAACAGAGAAGGGGAATGGCCGCTGCTTTTCCCCCACCCCCAGTCACAGCCCAGGGGACTGTGGCCACAAGAAAAGCCCCTACTGGCCGCATTTGAGAAATGCTGCACTAGACACCCCAGTGCCTCACTTTCTAAGATGGAGATTTCGTCTTGGACACCAGGGCCGGCTCTAGGTTTTTTGCCACCACAAGCAAAAAACAAAAACAAAAAAAAAACCACAACCTCCGGGAGTGTAACTGCCAAGCAAAAATTGTGCCGCCCCAAGCACATGCTTGGTTTGCTGGTGCCTAGAGCTGGCCCTGGACACCTCCCCTTCCCATGCCAGTCCCACACAGTCCCAGATGAGCTGGACAGGTTGGTTACAAGAGACAGAAGTGCAGTACAGAAAAAGGCCCCTGCAGTGCTCTGGGAGCAGCCTGCCCCATTGGGTGTCTATGCTGTTTAGTTAATTTCCTCCCGCAGGGGCAGGTCCCTACATTTCCTGGGAGTGAAGCTCCCCTTGTTACCTGCAATTCCCGCTGCTCTGTTCTCTCCAGTCCCTGCGCAGTCTAGTTCTGCTCTCATAGTGTTCACTAACCCTCCTCGTCCCGCCCTGCTCCCTGCAGCTGCACCCCGGGCCCTGTGCTATTGAGCTGGTGTGGTGTATACAGCGAAACGCTTGACGTTCTCATGGATTCCAGGCATAGCTGGGGGAGAACATGGGGGTGCAGTGCACTAACTGGCATGGAGCTATGCTACTTGGTCTTGAAACGGGGAGGGAAGAGGGAGTCAGGAGAGGTTTTGATAAGTGTTTCGCGCGGATGAATGCATGCAACGCAACCACACCCCTCCCGTGACTGGGGAGAGTCTGGAGCAGGGGGCCCAGACTGCGCTGTCAGCCTGACTTTCCACCCATTCGCACCACAACAAGTTTTTTCAAGGTGCTACGTGACCCAATTGTTTTTGAGCTGCTGGTCTGGGGGAGGGGAGCAGCACAGATGGGGGCAGCTGGACCTGGGTTTGGCCCACAGGTGGGTGGTGACAGGCCCCACCCCTCACAGAGAGCATGAGTGAGTATTCATGGTGCCAGTAGAAAACACTCGGCCCATCCCCAAGTTCAGAGTAAGGCAGGTTTGGCTATAGACTAGCATTTACAGAGGAGATGATCTGGCTCTGCCCAGGGAGAGGACTGAGCCTAGCACGTGTTTTATATCGCAAAGGGGGATAAACACAGGCCGTAATGACCCACCGCAAACAGGGATGGACAGCTAGGGCCGGGGGGGAGCTGTTGGGCAATGCAGACCCACTGCAGTGCCCTGCAGGGGTGAGTCCCCACTGAGCTGAATGCTCTGGGGCAGGTGGGCAGGAAAAGGGCTGAACACAAGCAGATGCCACGGCATGTTATTAAGCCACCAGTCTGCTGCCCAGCCAGGATGCCTACAGCTCTGGAAAAGATACATTTCTCACTCCGCCTCCATGCACAGCACATAGCCATGGCAAGCCTCTGCGACGCACAGCTGTCTAGTTCTCCCTCAGCCACCATAAGCCAAGCTCTGCAGACCCCAGCATCCTTTTGATGGCTCTTCTCCAAGCCCCTTAGATTTTGCATGTACCTCTCTGGCATTAGAGTGGAACGTACCACTCAGAGTGCACTGCTGCCAGGGTGAGCTGGCCTTTTATGGAGGGGGAGCGGGAGGGAGGAGGGGTGTGGCTCTGGTTTTGCTCACCTCCCCAGGTGAAGGGGATGAAAGTACAGGGGTTACATGATGAGGGAGCATGTGGCTGAGACCAGGGCTGCCATGGGAGATAGAAGGACAGCCTGCAGGGGCAGGGGAGACAGCAGATTTAGGAGAGCTACCAAAGAGCAGGGGGAGCTGCTTCAAATGAGCCAGAGAGAGGCCTAGGCTGGCCAGGAAGGCAGAAGCCCTAAGAAAGGGAAACAGGATGGTTTGGGCTCTAGGGTGGACAGCCCAATGGTTTAGGATGCCATTGCAGGCACCACAGCAGAGGGAGGGGTCTCCTGATGCTGCCACCCTGTGAAGTAGGGCAGACACCTCTACCAATGAGGGGCAGGAGGGGCTGACAGGAGTCCAAAGCTCATCCCAGTAGAAGGGCCCCAGGCTGTCATGGAAGAGGGCAGACCCAGGAAGATGGGCTGTTCCTGAAGAGCATGTTTGTGCTAGGACTGGATTCCCTTTGTTCACTCCTAAGGGGTGTGCTCCGCCTTGACTGGGACACCACGGTGCTGCTAGTTAGAGCTATGCACCTCCCCCTCAGATCTCCACCAGACACCACTGCTTCAAGGAGCGTCAATAGCTATATTAGGAGTCCAGTTTTGTACCAGGCAGCTCTCTGCCAGTTAGCAGCATCTAGATAGGCCAATGCTGCGCAATAACCGCCTTGGGCAACAGTGGGAACCTATTATGTGAGTTCATTCACTGTTCCCTTATGTGCTTCCCCTCGAATCTGTTTGTCACATCCACCAGGGAGCTCTTTGGGGTGGCCCCGTCTCTTTGTACAATGCCAGCACATGAGGAGCCCGGCCCCTAGACACCACTGCCATTCTGCTAAGAAGAGACTGGCTGCCCTTGGTTCCTTTCAGCCGTCTGGTGTCTGACGAAGAAGTGAAACACTCACATCAGCAGAGCATGCGGAAAGTCAGCTCTGGATCTGAGACGCTCTCAGCGGAACATAGTAACACGCAAAGCTGGCTCATGCGCCACTGAAGCCAAAGAGGATTGGGCCCCATGTGCCCCAAAACAGATCGGGGCAGATGTATTTCACCACATCCCACCATGCTCCAAAGCAGCTGGTGCTGGCCACTGTCAGGCTACGTCTTCACTACCCGCCTGAATCGTCGGGTAGAAATTGATCTCTCAGGGATTGAATTATCGCGTCTCGTCGGGACGTGACAATCGATCCCCGAATCGACACTTGTACTCCACCAGTGCAGGTAGGAGTAAGTGCCGTCGACGGGGGAGCCACGGAGGTCGATTTGTCGCCGTCCTCACAGTGGGGTAAGTTGGCTCGGATACGACGAATTCAGCTACGCTTAAATCGACACATCCCCCCTCCCCCCCCCCCATAGTGAAGACGTAGCCTCAGAGAGAGGGCAGCTGGGCCTCAGGTCTCAGCCAGTCTGGCACCTCCTTGTTATCCAGCTTGGGACAAATGCAGGGGCTGCCACTTAAACCAATGGCAGAACCACTCATGCTTGCCATGAGTTACTGGCTTATCTAGGATGCTCATCACCATGGTATCGAGCCACCTCAGGCTTAGTGAGCTAATCTTCCGGAGGCTAGGAAAGGATTATTATTCCCACTCAAAAGATGGGAGGCAGAGAG